TGCTTTGTTTTGTTTTTTGTTTTTTGGAATGTCCAGAGGACCAGATTGAACTTTTTTTGGTTGAGAAAGATTTTGTAGATACAAGTTATTTAAGTTATATTATGCACCATGCATAATATAACTCAAAAGAAAACTTTGGGACCACTTAAAGAGATAGTTCATATCTTTTGGAAAGGGATTCTGGGAAAGATTATGAAAAAGATGGAACAGTAACATAAGAGTAAGTGAATTGATACTCTCATAAAACAATTCTGATTCAAACATTTTATAGTGATTGTAACAAACATTGGTGTGTGTATTTTTACAGTGCCAACAGTTTCTGTTTTAAACCTTTTTCCCAACAAAAATGCTAATAAATTAATTTGCTTTTTATTGATCAGTAAACTGACCTGGTGCTCCCAGTTTTGACTAGAGCAAATCAATGTAGTAAGGTGAGAAGACATCACTGGAAGTACTGCAACTAGCTGCTGCACCTTCAAATTACCATAACTTTTATGTAAATAGCTGTAAAGCAGGTTACACACAAGTGAATAAGGTCTCATAACATCAACTAGTGAGGAATGCCAAGTGAATGAAGGGGGAAAAAACAAATTCAAAAACTCTTTGTCTTTTGAAATATATTTAAACAGCATGCATGTTAGTCTGATTGGTAACTCTAAATTATCCCTTGGTGGGAGTGAGAGAGTGAATGGTTGTTTGTCTCGTTTGTCTCTATGTGGCCCTGTAATGGACTTGTGACCCGTCCAGGGTGTACCCCGCCCCTCGCACAGTGATTGCTGGACATGGGCACCGGCGACCCCCGTGACCCAAAATGGAACAAGCGGGTAAAGATAATGGATGGATGGATAATAAACCGTTGCAATAGTCCAGTCTAGACGTGACAAATGCATGAACCAGTTTTTCTGCACCATTTTTAGACAAGATGTTTCTAATTTTAGTGATATTACGCAGGTGGAAGAAGGCAGTTCTAGTAACGTTTTTAAATTTGGGGGATAAAAGACATGTCCTGATCAAAAATAACACCAAGATTTTTAACATTACAACTGGAGGACAGATTAATGTCATCTAAGGAGGGAGAAAGACTGAAAAATTCATTCCTAAGGTGCTCAGGTCCAAGAACCAAAACCTCAGTCTTGTCTGTGTTCAACAGGAGAAAATTAAGGGTCATCCAGGTTTTTATGTCTTTAAGACTTGCTTGTAGTCTAAGTAGCTGATTGGCTTCATTGGGTTTAATGGACAAATATAATTGTGTGTCATCAGCATAACAATGAAAATTTATCCCATGCTGTTTAATAATTTTACCTAATGGAAGCATATATAAAGTATATTGGCCCAAGCACCGATATAGACACAAGTTCATTGTCTGAGACCATGAGAATATCATGCGTGACTTTTACTAGTGCTGTTTCTGTGCTATGATGAGCTCTAAACCCTGAAAAAAACTCTTCTAACAGATCATTTCTTTGTAGATGTTCACGCAACTGACCTGCAACTATTTTCTCTAGAATTTTTTAGATGAAAGTTACATTAGATATAGGTCTATAGTTGGCCAGAATTTCAGACTCAAGATCAGACTTCTTAAGTAAAGGTTTAATTACAGCAATCTTAAAGCGCTGTGGTACATAACCATCCATTAAAGACAAATTAAGTAGATCCAAAATGTGGACATTAATTAGTGGAAATATCTCTTTAAACAGTCTGGTTGGGATGGGATCTAGCAGACATGTGGATGGTTTGGATGAGGTTATTATTTTTGACAATTCAGAGAGCTCAACAGGACAAAAACTGTCCAAACATAAATCAGGCTCTAGTGAAATTTTTAAAGTTGTCTCATTTGACAGGGGACTAGAGATAGAAGAAGGAAAGATGGTTTGAATTTTCTCTCTAATTGAAATAATTTTATTTATAAAGAATCTCATGAAGTCATCACCACTTATAGTTGTAGGGATACATGGTTCAACAGAAATGGGACTTTTAATTAGTCTCGCAATAGTACTAAACAGAAACCTAGGGTTATTTTTATTCTCCTCTATTAAAGATGAGTAATATAAAGTTCTAGCTTTACGGAGAGCTTTTTTATACGTTAGCAGACTATCTTTCCAAGTTAAATAAAATTCTTCAACATTAGTAGAGCGCCATTTTCTCTCCTGGTTTCTAGATGTCTGCTTTAAAGTACGTAACTCAGAATTGAACCAAGGAGACAGTTTCCTCTGATTTATTACTTTCTTTTTCAGTGGAGCAATTTTATCAAGTGAAGTTTGCATTGAAGTTGTAAGATGATCAACTAGATGATCTAAGTCTCTGTTCTCTGATGCATTACTCTGCAAGACAGAGGAAAACATTGATGGAAGAGATTGTTTAAATTTGGTTACAGCATTTTCTGATAAGCACCTGCTGAGATGAAATTTACTCTCAGTGACTGTGTAGTCATTTAATGTAAACTCAAAGGTTATTAAAAATGGTTGAGGAACTTTTACCAAGTCCTTAATCTCTATACCATAGGTCAGAACTAAATCAAGAGTGTGATGATAAGAATGAGTAGATTTGCGGACGTTTTGGGTAAAACCAAATGAGTCTACTTAATTATTAAAGGCTATGCTTAAGCTATCGCTTTCAACATCTACATGAATATTGAAATCACCCATAAATTAAAAACAAACAAACAATGGTTTTAAGGTTCTTTATTGTCATTTGCATCACATGTGGTACATGAGGTGGAACAAAATTATGTAAAGGTCTCAGTTACATCCAAAAATAGCAAACATTTAAAGTATAAAATGAAACATTATACAAGGATCTAAGATGGACGCTAAACACTAATAATGTGAAATAATATGGTATATTAAACGGTATATTAAAATGTTATACAGTCCCTGTCGTGGTTCATTTATCGCGGGTTCGCTATATCGTAGATTTTCAATTTAAGATTGGACAGGAAAAAAATTATTATGAAATGAAACAAAAACAGTCACATTGTAAAGTGATGTAAAATACTAAAAACAGGAACATGTCTGCGTTGGTTTTTGCTACTTGAACTATGTTGCTGTGTCATTAGGCGTCTATACTAAACAAAGAAATGTACCAAATTCCAAAAATCATTCGCGAACTAAACAGAAATGGAGCACCATTCCTTTTATATTTTATGCATTTCACAACACTTCTCAGCTAAAATAACCAACGGCTCAGAGTTCTTCTCACCCTGAACCACGTGTGGGCTGAAATATGGATAAAGATCATCTTTGAATGAACAGCCTTTGAATGTGTAAATATGAGCCTGGGTCTTCACATCATAGAAGGAGACAAGACCATCCTCATAATCCACAAACACCCCCACCTTCTCAGGTTTTTTTTCCAGGGAAAGGCCAGCAGGTGGTTCAGTCATGGCTGCGTACTTCTTCTCTTCATAATGAACCAAAACCCAGTAGCCTTCACCTGGACTCAACGTGAGTTTCCCCTTGCGGTTGGCCCCGCCTCTCGCAACACCCAGATCCCACCCGGTCTTGTTCCCGACCTCCATCTCCCAGTAGGACCTCCCAGAGGTCAGGCTGTTGAGTCCCAGGACACTCCCAAACAGGTCAAACCTCTCAAAGGAATCAGCTATTTCCTGGTCCTTTCCTCCATCTCTTACTTCCTTCCCATCATCAGAAAGAACAAGGCGGCGGTGCGCGGTGTTTGGATCCATCTTTACATCCACTGTCGAAGAAGTAAAGATGGTTTATAAACTGGTAAAGATTGAGTGTCACACCTATCAGATGTGACCAGAGGGGCCCATCTGTGAATTAGATTAACAAAGACCTTAACAAACCCCTACTGTGAAGTGTGATAGGTTAATCTGCATATGAATGTGCGTATCTTATCTCAGCTTTATAACCTGAACCCCACACTCTCTGCTCTTTGAATTGAGAAAGCTTCTCGGATGAGAAGCGAAACATCTGTTACAAATAGTCCAGTTGTTATTTGTCTTGGAACTTTTTCACTGGTTTATAAGCTAAACTCTGTTTTTAACAGATAATGTTGGGGGGGGAATAAACCACCTACCTGCAAACTTTGATAGTCTCTTAAGTTCTACAAAACGATAAAAAAAAAAAAGAATTGATAATTTTGTCATTTTAATTTTGGACTTTTTCTGCCATGAAATTACTAACTCCTACCAATGGAGGTCAACTTCTCAAGTTCCTGTTGCATTTTTTCAATCATTGTTGTTATAGTTTCTCTCATGATGCCAAAAGACAATGTAGTGTCGAGTTCCACGTCTGCCCAGTCTTTCGTGTTTTCCTGGATGGAAAGTGATGGGTACCTCTGAAAAAAGACAAGATAAAGGAAATAAACCAACATATAACTTCTCTAGATACTGTAGATTAAAAATAATACTTTTCTTCACATATTTTTAATATAAAGTAGTCTCTTGCTACTTCGCGGTTCGACTTTCGTGGACTTGCTCTTTCACGGTTTTTCAAAGTAAGATTGTACAAGAGAAAAACAACTGTACACGATACATACTTGTGAACTTTAATATTACTTGTGATTGGGACAGTATAGGATACTGTACAGTAAAAAGTTAACAAAAAAAATGTACTTAGGACAGGCGCTGCCATTTTATAGTTTTCTCTCAATAAGCCTACACTGTATCGCCACCCAAAATGACTACATTTCCCAGAAGCCAACAGTGCCACACTCAGAAGCCCCGTTGCTTTCTGGGAAAGTGTTGATCTGATCTGAAAAAGTTTGGTCCTTATTCATACAGTGACTTCAGCACCCAGCGGATGCAGAGAGTCGCATGGAACCCACAGGGAACCAGACCAGATCCGGACTTCCAGACTCATCGGTGAATCTGAGTGCCGCCCGCTAGCCCATGAGGCCTTTCGATTGGGGAGACGCTGCCCAGAGGTCCGGCTCTCTCTCCGGAGCCCACCGGGACCTCCCCCATTCAGATTTGGACTCAATCGGACCACCGTCTGGTCATGTGCTGGCCATCCGAAGGTCCGGCTCCCTCCAAAAGCATTTTGATGCTGAAGGACTGCAGAGAGCCAACCAGAACCAGACCTCCAGACTCATTGTGAATCTGAGTGCTGCCCGCCAGACCACAAGGCCCTTTGAGCGGGGAGCCACCACCCGGAGGTCCGGCGTTCTCTCCGGAGCCCACCGGGTTTACCCAGAGCCTGAGAACCGACTAGAACCGGCAGGGTAGGTCTGCTGAAATCAAACCGAGTCGGACTGGAACTGATCTTCTGTTTTGCAGAGCTGAGTAAAATTTAAGAGCAACATATACATATGTTGTTAAAATGATGTAGGGTTAAGAGTTTAGAACATTGCAAGAGTGTGGGAAGGGTTTATAAAGCCTTAATATATATATAAACACTAAAATAAATATAACATACCTACTTCGTGGATTTTTACTTATTGCGGGTGGGGTCTGGAACATAACCCCCATAATAAACAAGGAACTACTGTATATTTAAAAAAAAACTAAGCAAAAATTTGAAAATGCTCAATTGTTTTCTCACTTGAAGGAAAAGAATGTGATCCTCCATCACAGATATATCATCCAGTTCTGACACCGATGTCTCAAGTTTGGTGATTTCAGCTTCCAACTCATCTTTGAGGGTTTTAGCTTCTTTGTCCAGTAATTTTCTCCGGTCTTTGAGAGGCTTCAGCACACTCGCCTGGGCTGCCTCTAAAATTGTAAGGACAGCTGTAAACACAGCTTCAATGTCCCACCACTCATTGTCAAGCTGGTCCTGAAAATGGGTTAAAAAATGTTAGATTGTCATATCACATAATGTATCTCCATATTACATTTTGTACTGTGTTTTGATTATAAAGTTATAAAATTTTACTTCTGAACTTTGTGAACACTATGGTAGGCTTGTTCTTGTTGTTTTTTTCAGAATGGTGATTTTCATCCCCTTCTTACCTTGCAACTCTTCAGAGCTGTATTGATCTTGTCTATCTTTGTTTTTCTGGTTGTAATTTTCTGTTGCAACTCTGTCTTTGTGTTGTCAAGATGAGCCTGACAAGAACAGAAGCAAACATTACAATATTCTTTTTGGCTCCTGTAAAAAAAAACAAATGTTTCATCTGAACTTTTGCCTCAGTTATTAGTATTTGTTCATCATACTGCACCTTCTTCTTGTCCCATTCGTCCTCAGTCGACACCACTTCCTCATGACCTTCTTCCAAACATCGAACACAAATGCACGTTTGCTGCTTCCTGCTGTACAGCTCAAGAGGGCGTCCATGTGTCAGACAAGCCCTTGCATCTAGGTTCTCTAGAGGTTCCACTAGTTTGTGACCTTTAAACCTTGGAGCTGAGTAATGACTCTCCAGATGTGTTGGACAATATGAAGCAAGACATATAAGGCAGGACTTCTCAGCCTTTAACTTTGGCTTGATGCAAACTTCACAAGCTACTTCCCCAGCTGTTCCAGAGAACTCATCATCAGTAGTTTTCATCAGTTGGACAATGTCTCTCAGAACAATGTTAGGATCAGGGATTTTGTTCAAATGCTTTTTGCAAAGAGGGCACATGGTATTCAAAATCATGCTCAAGTCTAGGCATTTCATACAGAAAGAGTGACCGCAAGGTGTGGTCGCAGGATCGGTAAATGTTTCCATGCAGATGGAGCAGGTCAGATGCTTCTCCATACAGAAGTCTCTGGGAGGTTTAGTGGTGGAGGCCATGCCTGCTTAAAAACAAAACAAGATGACTTAGAAAAGTCACATGTATAACATCCCATAAAGTATACTTTTGTTGCATCAGAATGGTAAACAGTATGACAGAGCTTTAGGGCTACGCTAAGAAAAAAACAAAAATTAAAAGCCATAAAATTCTGAGAATAAAGTCGAATAAAGTCTTAATATTACGAGAATAAAGTCGTACAAGACTTTTTGCAGCTCTCGTTTTTTTTTTTTTTTTTTTTCCACGAGTCGGATCCACAACGCAACCTGTCAATCAGTCCAGTAGGCGTGTCAGCAAATGACCAATCCAAAGCGAAATGATTGAGAAATCAAGGGTTGCATTGTGAGTGCTCTCACTTTTACAGTGAAACTGTTTATTAAAGGGATTACCATGGCATACATATAAACACTTTAGGCAACACAGATGGCTGTTCAATAAAAAAGGTTGTTCCATGACACTACCTGCTCACTATCTAGATTAGCAACAACAAAAGTTACTGTTTAGTGCATGCAGTTTAGAGTATAATGAATGTCTGTCAGTGCTGCTATTAATGGCAATGCCATACAGCTTCAGTTTATCATAAGAATGCTCAACATTCTTCATTTTACCACAGTTAAAATGTGGTAAACCTTGATTTATCATGAACAGTAGTCCTCCAATGCAAGAGCTGGGGGGTTCAAATCCACCAGCAGTCACATGCTGAAGTGTCCCTGGGCAAGAAAGTGAACCCCTCGTTACCTCTGATGTGTGCCACATCGATGTATGAATGTGATAAATCACTGATTAGTCTCTTTAGAATGATTTGTTCAATTAGCTTTGTATAGATCTAGTAGAGTGCTGTATGAATGGGTAAATAAGGACACAGATTGTAGTGTAAAGCGCTTTGAGTGTCTTGATGGGGCTGAGATGGTGTAAGGGCAGAGCAGCCGACTTGAGACCCGATGGTCCCCTGTTCGATCCCTGGTCATTGCACATCTTGTGGTGTCCCTGAGCAGGACACATTATCCCCAGTTGCTCCCCGGGTGCTTTCCACAGCTGCCCACTGCTCCACCTGGTGGTGGATGGGTTAAATGTAGAGAGCCAGTTTCGCCATTATATGGGAACATACAATGGTGACCATACATTCTTCTTATTATTATTATTATAAGATAGAAAGGTGCTATATAAGTGCAGTCCATTTACCGTTTATTGTGTCGGAGTTCGGATAATATTACTACTTTATTCTGGGTTTTTTCTGTTGTTGTTTTTATTCTCATAATATTAAGACTTTATTCTGGTAATAATATTACGAGTTTATTCTCATAATATTACGAGTTTATTCTCGTAATTTTACGACTTTATGCTCTTAATACTACTGACTTTATTATCATACGACTTTATTCTCGTAATATTATGACTTTATTATCGTAATATCATGTTTTTTTTTTTCTTCTTAGTGTGGCTCTAAAGCTCCGTTGTGCAAACAGACTACTAGACTAGTTGTCTATGAGGTGTTACAAAACGGCTAGCTTCTTATCCTATGAAACTAGTTTTGTTAGAGATGTGACATTCTCCAACAGTCTGTATTATTTGAACAGCTGTTTACAATGAATGATGAGAACAAAGTTGCAGATGTAAAGAGCTGTTGTCAAGGGAGTGTGTTATATTTGCACTCACCATGCTCCATAAATTTTACTGCTCTTTTATTGTTATTGTAATGATATTAAAATGTTCCATGATCCTTGCTGTATGTAATAATCATTCTTCATGTGATTTGTCAGTAAAGGGACAGCAAGAGATCATTCTATTATCCTCAAGGTTTTATTGATATGATTACACTGATGTCTTTCTGATGAGAGTCCTTGAGAGCTGCTGGCTCCCAGATTCCCTCCCCACTTCTGACTGCAGCTGGGTTCTGATAACAGACAGACAGGGCGGGGAGGGGCTGGTGGCTGAAAGTTTCTACAAAAAATTTTTTTTTTTTTTTATTCAGGAAGTCAGAACGGGTCAGCGTCTCAGACAAGTGAAATAATTGATAAGTTGTAGTTGTTGTTGGCTGTTCTCCAAAGCTTCTTAAATAAATCTGATAAAGCTTACACCTGGTTGCTTTGGGAATCTCTTTTTTCCATGACATCATTCATAGTTTTATATTTTTCCTTTATGTTTTCCTCTTTAAATGCAGAGACAAACACTCCTCCTTCACTTTTTTCAACTGAGATGAAGGAGAACAGACAAATGGGAGGAGTGCAGCAGCTCAGGTGGGGAGGGGGTGGATCCTGTTTGACAAAACATATGGTATGGCCCCGATGACGAACTACATCATTTATGACGTATGTGATGACATCACTGCTGCTCAAAGTTGAACAGCTCTATGAAGCAAACAGATCATTAAGATCCAGTTCCCGTCAAAGATATCCCATCTCTAATTTTTGTTTTGTTTATTTTCACACTTTCAAAATTGAAAAACAAATACCGGTAGATAAAACAGATATATCTAGAGCCAAACTTGTACTTGTATCTACGTGGCTTTTCAGTGAGCTTCTATACAACTCGTTTTTATGCAGTGAGTGTAAATTATTCTCACTGTAGCCTCAACAAGTAATAAGCTATTCAAGGTGTCAAATTTCAATATTTCTTTTATTTCAGTAAACTTAAGCAAAGCTAAAGCAATATACAAAATGAAAAAATTATAAAAATAGGGCTGCCCAATTTTTTTTGCACATATGCACTGTGCAGATTATATTTAATTTCCTCTAAGATGCTTGCTTTTATGATCAACTTGATGTTGTGCAACATAAATGTACTTTCTGTGTAAAGATTTTGAGCTGCCATGTTAAAAATGGAGACATCCAGGCTCCTCTACTCTAAAGGACAGTGTGTCCCCAAGTTTATATCTTAAATCAGTGTTGGACATTTCTGTTGTCTTCTGGGACATAAAGAGAATAAAGCCTTACACTGGTGCAAATGTCTAAACTCCAGAAAAGTTAACATTTTTAATATTAGGTTAATATTAAGTTTTTATTTATTTCCTTTATAACTGTTGAGTGCAAGTTAATATAAGTCAGAAACAACATCAATCTACAAATGGCACATTTTCCATCTAACCCGAAAACTATCCATGAGCTAAAACACCTTCAACTTTGTTGCTCAAACCATTTCGTTGCCACACCTGTTGAGTCGATTGTCCTGGAGCGAGTCAGATCACAAAGTTACATCCTGATTTAAGAATCAAAAACTCTCCCTTACAAAGCTGAGGCAGTCCAACCTTTAATAAATGATCAGCTTTAGTTACGCTCTATAAAACGGAGCACCATATATGTAAATAAGCAGTAATCAAGATGTTAAGTATAGCAAAGGTGTCATTTTTAACAGAAAGCAAATGTGCAAAACATATTACTACATACAGAATATAATTGTACCTTCTGGCTGCAGAGATCTTCCTCTTCTCACAGGCGTCTATTCCTCTTTATTCCACTATGTGAAGTGGCATGAACTTCCTCATGGATTTCCTTTTCTCTGCGTTAAGTTTCATTTCTGCACAAAAGTGCAGTCAGACACCTCCTTTATGTAAAGAGGAGGCTAGCACACAGCTGAACAAGCAAATGATGCGTGTGTGTGCATGCTGCAGGGCGAGTTGCATGTTGAGCAACGATCAAATAATGGACCTGCCAAGAAGGTTTGACTGGATCCAGAAGGTGGATTTATGTTTGCAGCTCAATGTGAAGACTGCTTGATGCGTAAACTTAAGATTTTTTTTGTTTTTTATATCTAATTTCTGAGCCGACAAAAAGAAAGAAACAAAACGTCTGAGCAGTGATTTATTTCATGATTCCCTCATAAATACAGTGAATGGTTTTAATAACTGAATTATTCAGCTTAATCACATCCAAACACAAGTTACACTCATACATCTCTAGCTTCTTCACAGTCTTTAGATTTAACAATTATTATATCCCTTAACAAAAAGTAGTACATTTGACGTTTATTTTTGCAAGTATACTTTAAGTTAAGTATAAGTATATCAAGTATACTACACACCATACTTGTAGTGTACTAGAAGTATACTGATTTAATACTTGTTTGGACTAAATTGGGACATTTTTATACTATTTTTAAGTATATCAAATAAAGTTTATAAAAAGTAAACTTCAAGTACACTTACTCATTTTTAGTGTAAAATAAGTATACTTGTAGTACACTTACATAAACTACTTTTTGCTAAGGGATAGTTTGAGGTCAATTGATGCTTTTGGGTGTTGTTAACTTTTACTTGTACTTTCCCCACAACTTTAAATAACATGAAAATAAATAAATTCACTGTAAATTATATCTGTGCAAATCAAAACATAAAAATTAAAAAGCTAAAACAAAGCGTCGGCATCTCTAAAGTGCAGTTTCTGCTGGAACGTTAGACAAATACACAATGTCATCTGATAAATGTAAAAGTTTAGCCTGCAGCTGGTTAGCGTAGCCTGGTTCAAAACCAGACACCTTGAGAAATAGGCCACCTCAGTTCACTAGTAATACCCCCACATCCCCTACAATAAATAAATAAATGAAACCTGCTCTTCTTTAAAAACTGATTCAGACACTAAGAATCGTTGTTTCCTGAACAGCGGCCTGTGGTGGCTGTGAGCACAACTGCATGTAGAGGTGCATCAACACAATCCTGTATGTAATAATAAAGTCCATGCTCAATAATCCAGGTATAAAATCCAACATTTTTCAGTCAGGTCATCTGGACAGTTTCTTTTTTTTTGTGCTGAAACGTTTCGCCTTCGGTCCAGAAGGCTTCATCAGTCAAGGAAACACAACAAAACTGATTCTTCCCCCAACGGCTTACTCCAAAGTGGAACAAACCAGTTCTGCTTGTGATAAGATGGTCTCTTTGGTACGCCCCCTCCTCCAGGAACAGGGTCGGAAATGCAGTTGTTTTGCTTTGTTTTTGTTTTTTTGAATGTCCAGAGGACCAGATTTAACTTTTTTAGGTTAGATCATTTGGTTTTCATATGTGCAATATTTTCTGCTGCAGTAGTTTACAGGATGTAACCACAGTTCAGGTTTAAAGATGTCAACTTCCAATAAATGGTGGCATGGTGGTGCAGTTGGTAGAGCTGGTGTCAGATCAAATCCTGGCTGGGGTCCTTTCTAAGTGGAGTTTGCATGTTCTCTCTGTGTGTGCGTGGGTTTTCTCCGGGTACTCCAGTTTCCTCCCACAGACCAAAAACATGCATGTTAGACTGATTGGTAACTCTAAATTGTCTCTAGGTTTGAGTGAGAGAGTGTGTTTGTCTCTATGTGTCCATGTGATGGACTGGAGACCTGTCCAGGGTGTACCCCACCTCTCGCACAGTGATGGCTGGATATGGGCACCAGCGACCCAAAAAGGAAGAAGCTGGTAAAGATAATGTTTGGATGGATTACTAATAAGGTTATGCAGATTGGAGAACTTCTTAAAAGTTTACTTGCAGTTGTGTAGTGCGGTTGATCTTCGGACAGTTTCTGTATTTTATAGTAAACCCAATAAACACATGTTGGCTTTATTCTGTGGTTGCAAAAGGAAAACATAGGATGAATAGTGTTAATTGTAACAGGTGTTTTCCCCAGAATGTTACACTTTTTTTTAAAGGACAATCAGTCGCTTCAATATCAATTTCTAAATCTGAAGGTCTTGTGTGTAGGACGGCTGAACGACACAAGTTTCCAGCTAAAACTATCTCAGTACTCCAAACTTGGACCCAAGCCGTTTTCTTCGACAAATACTAGGTTTGGTGAGGTGCAGGGCTTCCCAGCTTTTCTTTCCCACAGCTCTGTGAGTACATACAGTTTTAATCAAATCATTCATTAAGCAGTCTGTACCCAGTATTGTGGATCTGGATGTGCAGTGCTCTAATAGAGGGAATTTGTTGCGAGTTCATGACTAATTGGTGTATTGATTTTGATTGTAGCTCATATTGCTGAAACGATTTCTAAACTGCTATTGCTATATTTACATGTCAACACCATTGTGTTTAGGTATTAGGTTTAGGTGTGTTTAGGCGGCTGTCTAAACTGAAGCCCATATTGTCCAAAAAGAACCTGGAGACAGTAATACATGCATTCATTACATCTAGGCTTGATTACTGCAATTCGCTCCTGTTTGGTATCATTCACACCTCCATTGCATGACTACAACTGGTCCAGAATGCAGCAGCCCGATTTTTAACCAGTACAGGCAAAAGAGAGTACATTACACCAGTTTTGGCCTCACTGCACTGGTTACCGGTTCACTTTCGAATCCAGTTCAAAATACTCATGTATGTCTACAAATCACTGAACAGT